GTCTGTCTGTCTTACTTTTTCCCAGCACTAAATGACCATCACTGTGTCGATGTGCTGCTCTTTACTCAAACAAACAAACAAACAAACTAACATACAAACAAACAAACGTGAGTGGTTGGCGGGTGCTCTGGTGTGGTTTGCTTCTTCTTTCCTATGAAACATCTATCGTCCCTATCTCCCCTTCTTCTTTTTTATGTTTGTTACTCTCTTGTAACACCTCTAATCTTCTGGCGCTCATATGACCTCATGCAGTTGCGAGCGCCGTAAAACCTCTTCTAAAACTAAAACAAACAAACAAAGAAACATTTTTTTTTTCAGTTTCAAATCAGGACAGGAAAAAAAAATGCTGGCCTGTACGCTCACACAATTAATGGTTCGGCTGAGGCCCGCCCTGCCCCGCACCACTTATATAAAAAGTCAGCTGCAGCTGGTTATCTCTTACTTCTTAAGAATGATGAAGACTCCGATGTATCAACCAAACAAGTCACAGTGGTTTTTTTCGTTGCATTCTTTAAAAATCGAACTTTCTTCTCAACAAATGACCCCATGGACGACCTAGCTATATATAATATTATTAGAATCTATGTCCTGTGCGGTCGCAAAGTAAAACAAAGTAATCTATACTGATTATAACGATATACAGACTCTAAAACTTTGATTTTCCATTTTCTGTACTTTTTAAAAATTGTGACTTACCTGGTTTTTCCACTGAATTCTTCATGTTACGCTTCTCGGAACACTTTGATCACTGAAAGGAAGCCCGCACTCCTCAAGTAGGCTGAATGAGTGGTCGCTGTGGTCGGCCGATTCGTGCTGTTTGTCCACATTGGCAAAAGAGCAGCCTTTACACACACACACACACACACACTCACACACACACACACTCTCACACACACACACACACACACACACACACACACACACACACACACACACACACACGCGCGCGCGCGCGTGCGCGCGCACGCACACATACACATAATAATATATATAGGTGCATGTATTTTTTATTAAAAGGCCTGTTGTTGTGGTTGTTGTTATTATTGTTGTAAACTCGGCTGGTATCGGGCTCGGCTCTTTTTGCTATCTGGGGTAAAAAGGTTTAGCCAGGTTTAGCCTAAATTGGCATAATCCCCTTACTAAGTTTTTTTTCCCTTTTAATCTTCAGACTAACATGCATGCCTTCTGTTTTCCGTTTCTCCCTTTGTTTCTTCATTATTTTATTTTATTTTATTTTTTATTTTTTATTTTTAATTTTTTATTTTTAATTTTAATTTTAATTTTAATTTTAATTTATTTTTTATTTTATTTATTTATTTATTTATTTATTTATTTATTTATTTATTTTTTTTAATTATTTTTTTTTGGGGGGGGGGGTCATATTTTTAAAAAACATATAGCTGTATTGCTTACTTTCCTACGGGAACGTTTTTGTACACCGTTTCTTCCCTTTCAGTCAGCGTGCGCTGTGGTAACCTCGGCTGGCATCGTGCTCGGCTATGGTGTTGGTGACCCTCGTTCGATTCCACAATGAAGCGATGTTGATCCTGGGTTGTTTGAGGAGTCTCCAAGGCTTTCCGTCGACATTGGCACGAGCCTTTCCGAGATTGCGTCATAACCTTACGGCTTTGACAGAAACATGAACCCCC